AAAAAAATAAAGGGCTGGATAAAAATATGTTATTGGAACAGATTTCTTCTAGGTGTTGCTCAAATAATTTTTTTTTGAATAAACTATTTTTTCAAAAATTTTGAAAAATTTTTTTAGAAAAAATATAATCTAGCCTCACTATAAGGTATAAAAAATCGTCTTTTATAATGAGATGTATCTTAAATAGAGGATTTACTGTTAAATAGAGAGAGTCCTCAAATAGCTCCCAAACCCAGGGACCTAGCAAATCTTTAAAGAGCGTCTCTTAAATAGAGGTGTATTTATATTGTGTGTATCTTATAAGGAGGTTTTTTAAGAAATTATATTTTTTTAAAAATCAATCTATAAATAATAATTTAATTATTCAAGTTTTCCCAAGTTTTTTTGACAAATTAGTTAAAATTAAGTAAGAATGGTGGCCATTTTTCTCCTTTTAAGGAAAGTAAAAAAGATTGTGACTTGTTAACACACAAAATTGCTTTTGAGGACACAAAGTGGAAGGTGTTTTAGAGGAAATAAAGAAAATAAATGGTGGTTGGAGTAGAAGGGGGTAAGGGGGGATGAATAAAGCTAAGAGAATGTGTGTGGATTTTAGTTGAATAAAAAAAGAAATTTTCTTCTATTTTTATATAGCTCACAGTGTGAATTTGTTGGTTGAATTTATTTGAATATAAATTTTTGGTATTGGCCTTTAAAATAAATTTCAACCTTAACTTTATCCTGAAAGTTTAAGCACTAGTGCAGTTTCCCCCATAAGGGAACAACCCTTTTTGCTGCAGCGGAGGAAGTCGAGAATGACTAGCGGAACGACTCCGCCGCTTTGTTATGGCTTCCGCGACTTTCGAATGATGTGCACAAAATTTATAAAGCCAGAGCCAGTATAGCCAAACGAGGGATGAATTAAGCTTTCGAATGATATGTACAACAAGCAGAATTTTAACAATCAGAGAATGTTTAGAGAACCAAAACTTAATCACTCAGTTAAATATAAATAATTTATTTTTAATATAACAATAAATATATGTATGTAAGTACTATAAAGTGTTAGAATATATTTAAACAAAAAAAAGTGGAATGAAAATAAAGATAAATTAAAAAATTATTTTAACAATCAATCATATGTATTTTCCGCCTGTTTTTAATAACCTGGCGCAGTTCGCGGCGCCGGACAATGATCACAACCACCCTAAATTCATTTTATTTTTTTGAAATTAAAAATAGTTCACAACCTTTCCGCCAGAATCACCATCTTGGCCATTTTGTCCAGGTTGGCCTGGATTTCCAGGAGGACCCAAAGGTCCTGGATCACCAATAGGCCCAGGGGGTCCAGGCTGTAATTAATTCAGAATAAAAGCATTTTAGGTTGTTTACCTTGCTTTGGCCGCTCTTTCCTGGTGCCCCTGGTTGTCCTGGAGGGCCTGGCGGGCCAATCGGTCCTGGTGGCCCCTCAATGCCGGGAACATCGAAAAGTTGTCCATCATGTCCTCAAAAATCAATTTTTTAAGTACCTATATCCATTCTTTTACCTCTCTGGCCAGGCGAGCCAGGTGGACCATTCGGTCCTTGTGGACCTGGCTGCCCCATTGGACCTTGAGGCCCTGGCGCACCGGGAATTCCTTAAAATTATTTAAAAATAAAAAGTTAGCATTAGTAACCTGGCTGCCCTGGCAAGCCTGGAGGGCCAGGAGGCCCCTTAGGACCGGCCTTGCCGGGTGCTCCGGGGAATGCAGCTAAATATGGAAAGAAATATAGATAGGTTATTTAAATCGCTCTAATACCCGGACAGTCAAAACAAGGTTCCGCTGCGCCGTAACCACTATCTGACAACTGAGCATCTTGGCCTTGCTGTCCAGCTTGGCCTGGAGAACCATCCTGACCATTACGACCCTAAAAGATATCGTTTTAGAGGTTTTTATTCTATATTTAAATGAATAACATCCTCTCCAGGCGGTCCAGGTGGTCCGACTGGACCGATGCCGCATGAGCAACACTGTGATGATGGTGCTTCTTGATGTATCGCTTCCGACTTTAAAGGAGCTACTGTTGGCTGTTGTTGACTTTCACCTCCACCATAGCCCTTTTGTGGTGGGGCAGAGGCCACTGGAGCTGAGGGAGGTGGCTGAGGTGGATATCCTGCATTTGGTTGTGGTGAGGGAGGTGACAGAGGTGGATAACCAGCATTTGTTTGTGGTAAAGAAGCTGAAGGAGGTACTTCATGTCCTCCATTGGAGGCGCTATAACTTGCAGCAATTTGCTCATAGCCCCCTTGACGGACTTTTCTACGAGTCATTCCATTATTGTGAGTATATCTAGCATGTGAAAGTGGCGTTCCTGACATAAAGAAACGATGGGCGGTAGCAAATTGTGAAGGAGAACGTTTGGGACGATGAATAGACTCTAACTTAAATTAACAGATATTTTTGTAAAATTTAAATAAAATTTTAAATTTTCTACTTTTTCAAGTTCATTAATTAAATTATTTGTTCGATGTGTACAAAATCCAAGTTCATCCTGTAGAGTAGTCTGTACATATTGTGTATATGAAAATAACATAGGAACACACATTGAGGCAGTTAATGTTGAGACTATTTTTAAAAATATTTTTAAATCTAATACAGAGGGCCTCACTATAACCCACTTGGGGCCGAAAAGTCTTTTAAGGGGTTTCTACCCTCCTTGAGCATGCTGGCGAGGGATCCTTCGATTTGAGGTGTTTGATAAGACTGGTTGGAATATCTTTATCCCTAACCTGTCAAGCTATGAGGTTTGATCAGGTTAATAGAAGATTTTGCTTTAACGTATCTTAAATTGAGGCGCTTGGGGGTATTGAGGCATTTAGGGGTATTTTTGGGGTATCCAAAAATGCCTATCCCTGGTTGCATTATAGTACTACCTGTACAAACAAATAACCCCCAAAAGGCAAGTTTTTTAAAATGATCTGCTTCAATTAATAATCTTTTCATTTCAGCCTCCTCACTCCACATATCTTTATCATTTTTGTGTTCATTTTCGTTAAATTTCTTCATCTACAAAAATAAGAATATTTAAATTTTGTTCAAAAATAAAATGACATTTTTGATTAAAAATAAAAGAAGATTTTTAAACAAAAAAAGAAAAGCCAGTTTTTATAATATTTTTGTTCTATACAAAGTTTATGCTAGTCGAATGCCGACGGCTATTGTTGTCTTGCCACCCAGCAAGTAAGTAATAATTAAAAATAGACACAAGCCTTTTTCTTTTTCCTTTTATACTTTTTCTTCTTCTTCCCGATCATCTACCACAAAAAAAACTTTTTCTTCTTCTAATCCACAATTCATAAGTTTTTTACTTACTTCACCTTCTATTCATCAATCTATTAAATTTCACCAAATTCCATCTTCTCCATCTTTTTTGTGGCATCCTTCCTTCTCACTACCTTCCTCTATTAACCCCTTTCCCTAATTCTTTGTTTTCTGCGCGATCCTTTCTTGTTCATTTTATTCAAAAAAACTCGTGTTAATCCGTCACAAACGAGAGTTGAGAAAAGGGAGAAATTAAAAAGGGAGAAAGTTGAGAAAAAAGGATTGTGAAAATTTAAATCAAAAGTTTGAATAAATGTGAATGTTGGTCTTTGATTTTCAATAATTTTGGAACATATCCTGATTATTTTACAGTACACCTTAAATATTTACCTAAATCAACTTTCTCCCTAAAAATAATAAAAAGTTTTTAAAGACTATTTTACAGTGTTAGGTATAGCGTTTATTGCTCAGCTCTCAAATCATGACTCCGTTTCGGGGTTTATTAGCTCCAGATCCGAGCATTCCAAAATCTTAGCTCACGGTTCCGACTGGAGCCGGATTTGAGTACTTTAACAGATAGAGGGAGTAAGAGAACTTGACAGGTCGAATCTAAATAAATATTGCCTGAAGCGTGGAATTATGCTTTTTTGGTTAGATTATCTCAAAGAAATATAAAGAATAAAACAGCAATCTTTGTAAAAATATTTTTGTAAAAAACATAAAAGATATCCATATATTCAGGTATTTTTCTCTTTTATATTTTCACTTTCTCTCTCTTTTAAACCACAAATTAGGCGCCTGCCTAAATCTTCTTTTTTTCCATTTTTATTGTCGACAGATTTAGTTCTTTTCAGTTTTTTTTTGTTTTTATAGATTCTCAAACAAACACAAAATCTAGTTTAGCAAACGGAATTAAATATATAGACTATTAATTTTTTTTAATTTTTTTAAGAACGATAACAGACAAATCAATGGAATTAATGATAATATTTTGTTTAAATTACCCACAAAAGCACTAAATAGGCACTCACAGGTAGAGAGGCTTTAGAGGTGGATACTTGTTAATAGAAAAGTCGTTATACCTTAGTGCCTAGCAGGGGTAAATCGGAAATCCGAGTTCCGACTTTTGAGCCAGTTCCGATATCCGGCTCTCCCGGGTTCCGACACCTCTGACTGTTCCGATCCACCTCTGGTGCCACGGAATTTAAAATCAAGAGGACAGATAGTAGTTAATTAGAGATCTGAGATTGTGAACTCGAAAATTTTTTTGGACAATGAAAAAATTTTATAAATTTTGAAAATTTTTTTTTAAATATTGGAGAGGGGGAGAGACTTGTCTAATTTTCAAATAATTCAAACTCCAAAAATTTTTTTATTCCTTGGATAGGGTAGAGGTAAATTTGTTAGAAAATCGAATTATTTCATTGGAGGGAAAATGGGATAAAGTGTCATGCAGTGGGATAAAGTGTCATTTACTAGAGGTTTGGGATGTAATGTCATTTACTTAAGTTTGGGCCTTAAAAAGATTTTTATACTGTAATATTTCAGATATTTTTCTCGTTTTAAATTTTGTATAGACAATCTATCAATTTTTATTTTGTTTAAAATTTTTTCTGATACATTAGGAATGAAAGATATAATAATAAAATTATTAGATATTTTTTTAAAAAATCTATTTCTTCAAATTGAGCAGGTTTGGGACATTTCATATACTTTTGCTTAATATCCTGGCGCAGTTCTTGGGGGTGGACAATGACTGCACTCTCCATGTCCTCCATCGTTTCCTTTTCCTCCATCTGTTCCAGGGTTTCCTGGTGCTCCAGGTCCGCCGGGGGGTCCTTGGTCTCCAGGAGGACCTTGCCCGCCAGGATTTCCGGGTCCTCCAGGTGCTCCAGCTTCTCCAGGTCCTCCAGGCTGTCCATCGGGTCCAGGTGGGCCGGGTGGGCCAGTTGAACCTGGTCCTAAATTGATATAATAATTAATTTTAATCTTTGCTACTATTCTTTACCTTCTGTAAGTTGTCCAGGTGGTCCGGGTGGTCCTTCGTTTCCAGGTCCTCCGGGTTGTCCATCGGGTCCTGGTGGTCCAGGGGGACCAGGTGGTCCAGGGCTTGCTGGTGCAGAAGGTCCAGGAGGTCCAGGCTGTCCAGCGGGACCAGGTGAGCCAGCTGGTCCAGGGCCTCCTGGTTGAGCAGCTTCGCATTCTGGTGTGCAACCTCCTCCATAACTTTCTGCTGCTGGAGGTGCTTCAGCATCAGGGCCTGGAGGTCCGTTTCCTCCGGGTGTTCCATCACCTGAAATTTGTTATATAGATTATGTAGTTTTGAAATTCCTCTTCCTACCTCCAGGAGGTCCAGGTGGACCAGGTGGTCCTGGGGGTCCAGGTGGTGATTGTCCACAACCGCAGCATCCTCCACCACCGCCTCCTCCACTAGAACTGCTTGTGACTCCTAAGCTTGTACCTCCACCACCACCATAAGCTTGACGACGTACAGGTTTTGCTGCCAACGCCTTGCTGTTACTTGAACGCTTTCCTGTTGTCTTTTTAGTTGATCCAGTCTTCATTGTTGGTGCTGCACGAGGTTCACGTATAATACCAACTCCATGGACATCAGAAAGCACTTGAGTGCGGGTTACTTCACGCCAAATGTTTCCAGAACGGAGTTTACAAAAGTCAACTTCATTCTGCATTTGGGTTCCAACTTGTTGGAAATGTTGGTAAGCAAGTGGGACTGTAATCACACATATCAGTGTTGCCACTGTAGAAAGACAAACACCAAAGAAAGCAACAGCTCGAAGGGTTTCTGCCTCTTGGCGTTGATTTTGCTTTTCGGAGAACTCTGAGGAGTCCATTGCTGCAAGTATTCTTGGAGGAATGAATGCTTGTTGAATGCTTCTTCCCGTTGCCTTTATAAAGGCTTTGCATTTTGGCCAGGAAAAAAGGGAAAGGAGCGAGGAGGGACGTGTAAACTCGTTTTTATGTTTGTGTCTTCTTGCCAAATAAATTTTTATTTTTTTTGGGTCTTTGTATTCCCTTTATTGGCCCTCTCATTGGGTGGTCGTTATTCATTGTTAGTCATAAAAAATAGAGAGGACACGGAGAAGAAGCAAAAAATGGGAGAGGTGGAAAGGTAATAAGTAGCATTGTCGCATTTGTCAAAAAAATGCGTGGCGCGAGTCGGAAGAGTCAAAGTTAAAAGGGAAAAAAATTTTTTGTTCTGAACGAAAACGAAAGTACTGACTGAAACTTGAGGAAAAATTAAACTTTTTTTCGGAAGGTGAATTATTGCTTATATCTATTACAGGTTGCTAAAGTTTAGGTAAGAACTACCTTTGGGCGCTGGCTTATAAATTCGTTAAATAATGACTTGTAGGAGTGAAATTTTGCCGGAATGTACATAAAAGTGTTAACTAATCCCTCAAAAAAATTCAGAATTTTTAGTTAAATTATTTCCGAAATTCTGAAGAAAATCCCACAAAAAATTCGAAAATTTTCTCTTTAAAATCCACCTTTTCGACCACAACTTCTCAGATATCCCATCAAAAATTCTAAAATTTTTAGAGTTGTTTAGCTAACCCATTTTTGAACGTCTATGCAAAATTTCACGGTTCCACGTGCTCTTTAAACTTTTTTATATTATCGAGCGCCTAATCGTTATAGCGCCCAAACGTCTCCTTTCCTTAATGCTTTTTGTCCATAAATTAAAAAAGTCAAAAAAATTTTGCGCAAAAATATTTCCAAATATTTCCATTTATTAAAAAAATATTATATGGAACGGCTAGCGAATTGGGTTGGAAAAGAAAGCAAAATAGGGAAGAAAAAAATGAGTGAAAGTAAAACCAGAAACTGCCTTGTTTGTAAAACTGTTTGTTTATTTTCTTAATATGTTTAAGGAAAATTAGGAAATAATTAATAGATATAAAAAAAATTATTTATTTATAAAACTTGTGTAGAAAATTATTTTTTTGTTATTTTAATCAAATTAGGAGAAAAAAAAGAAAAAAAATAATTTTTTAGCGATTTTTTCTTTTACTGGACAAAATAAAGGGAAAATTTGTAGATAATTAATTATTTAAATAATTAAATTGTTGGACATCCGGATATTTATCCAAATAGTTGTTTTTATGTTCGGGAATATTTATTAACACTCTTGGGGGAAAATTTATTATATTTTTAATTGTGTAATTAATTAAAAGATGTTGGTGATAAATATTAATCTCTTCCTTTTTATTATGAGATTAAGACTTAATTTTTTTTTGTTAATTAATTAAGTTCATTCCTCGATAAATTTTCTTTAAATTTGTAGATTTATTTTTTTGTAAATCTATTTTGTAAATTTTAATAAATTCTGTAAATTTTTCTCGTAATATTTGAAAACATTTATTTCTCGTTTTTTTCGCTCATTTTTGAGTTAAAGACCCCTAATTAGTTTTCCTTTTTATGAGGGAAACCAAAGCTAAAATTTTTACTAATTAAAATAGCAATCCTGAGATAACTTAAAATATTTCATAAATAAATATTAAATTCTAAATTTATTAATTAAGTCTTTATTAATTCTTGTTTCAAAATAATTTATTTTTAATTAATATTTATTCACATTTTTAATTAAAATTTTCAAGCATAATTAATCGGCCCATGTTCTTGAAATGCTTTGCAAAGAATATTTGAAAACATTATCGAGAAGAATTGGACAAGTAAAAGTAGAATTCCACACAAAAATAATCCATTACCCATTGAATCTATTTTTCCTGTTAATGAAGTATAACAATCCTCCTAAATGAGTAAAAATAAATCTAATATTTATTTAGTTTTTAAAGCTATTTGGCATCTGGGTGGGAAAGCTGTCTAAGCGAGACGGTCAAAAATCTCTTATCTGTCTCTCCTTATGATTGATTTTGCTGACTTGTTATGGGGAGTCAAATCAGGCTGAACACACCTTCTAGGAACGAATTGAGTCGACTTATGAAGGAATGTCGTGCGTTAGTAAGGAGAAGTGTTATAATGATCCAAGGAGGTGTTTTAGAAAGATCCAACGCCTTTACTTCATTCTTATACACGTTTATTATTAACGAGGTCCTAATCTAATTAAAAATTCGACTTCATTTTCCTTAAAAGATCTCTTTTTGTTTTTCACAAAATAATTTTGGTTGGATTTTAAATTTGGTGAAGGCTCCATAACTTTTCCATTTCCTGAAGAGTAGCTAATTCTGCTTATATTTTTACCTTATCCTTTAATTCCCCAGGACATAAATTTTCTTTAATATAAGTTTGTTTGGTTTCAATTGTAGCACCACAACATTGCAATAAATCCTCTATTGGTTTTAAATTCTTTCGACCATCTACTGTTTCTGCGCTTTTAACTAAATTAAAACAAAATTGTAAATTAATCATAGTCAGACTCACTATAAGACACCCATTTGTGACCGAAAAAGTGTCTCTTATAATGAGGTGTTTATTAAATAGAGGGTATTACTAGAGTAACGAACACATTCAATGTTTACCAAATTTTAGAAAAGGTGTATATAATATTGGGGTATTTTATAGTGAGGTCTTTAAATTGGCGTTATTTAATGTATTAATAAAATATTTTTACCAAAGGCGCCATGTAGATTCTCTAATAATTCTCCTCTATTAGTAAACAAAGATATAAGAACATACAATTCAATTAACGAAAGAATTAAAATGAGAATTGAAAACTTTAAAAAAAATTATTTTTTAAATTTTTCCTTTAAAAAAGACTAACCAAACTTAAAAGCACCAAACTCTCACAAGCAGCCCCACAACATCCCAAAAATCCAACAACCAACAAAAGCGCCCCGACTGCTACAAGAATCCACAAACATGATTGGTACTTTTTTTAATTATTTAAATAATTTAAAATTAATTTAAATACCTGCGCTAATAAATCAATTATTTTGTTATCTAATTTTAGTTTTTGGGCAAATTCACGAAAATTATTGTCAAAATTTTTGTCCAAATTTGCCTAAAAAAGTTCTTTTTTAATTTTTAAAATTATTTTAATTGCCAGACTTCACTATAAGATAACCCGTAGGCTGGAAAAATAGTCTCTTATAATGAGTTGTTCCTTAAATAGAGGGTAGGCTAAAATGAGAGGTGTCTTATAATGAGGCGTTCCTTAAACAGAAGGTAGGCTAAAATGAGAGGTATCTTATAATGAGGTGTTCATTAAATAGAGGGTATCGCACAAAACACTCCCCTACACAACCAAATTAAAAAGACGTCTCTTAAATAGAGGTAATATTTACAAGTGAGTATTGGGGGTATCTTATAGTGAGGCCCGTCCGACATTTAGAATACCCAAAGCGAAAATCCAAAAAGAAGCCCGCCAAAAAGAAAAATTAGAAAATTGGCTATGAAAACAAAAAATTTAATCATTTGATTAGCTGCACCATAAACCATTTTTAAATTTTTTTGAGTTTATTTTTAATAAAAAATTTAAAATCTAAAAGATTTTTTGTAAAAATAAATGTTAAAAATATTGAATCACAATTATATATGTATATTTTTGTTTAAATAAAAACACGTCATTTTTAACCTGAGAAAATGAAAAGCGCTTAAAATAAAAAATTTTTTCTTTGTTAAAAAACACTTCATAAGTGGGTGTGGGTGCCAGGGATTGCAACGGCTAGATTTTAAAAACGGAAGACAGAAGGCGGAAGCGGAGGGTCAAATAAGACGGAATTCTGGAAAGGCGGAAGAGAGGCCACCAGTGAAGGGTATAGTTCTGAAAGCTATCTCCGGAGCTGTAGCCAATAATTTTGAATCTTGAAGTTCGAGCCAAGGTTGGAAAATTTAGGAGCCGGAGCTTCAAAATGCTCAATACCCAACACCTGGGCTCATCACTTATGTATGTGCCAGTTTCCCTCTCTCATTACGTTCTTAAATTCCAGGTTTTACGATAAAATCCGTTTCGGCACACTCTTTGGTATTCATAAACTACTAGGTGTCTAACAGGAATCAGGAACTAAACAAAATTATGTAATATTCCAGTAAAGTCAAAAAATCAGCTTATTTTTTGGGAGGCAAATCAACTCTAATAAATAAATTATCAACAAAAATATTATTTTAAGTAATTGACAAGTTTTTGTTTATTCAACATAGAATTAGATAAGAAAAATTGAGAAATTGATGCACAGAAATGATAAGATTGTTTTTTATTTATTTTTGAAAAGACCAAAAAATGATGCAAATAATCAAAACATTTCATAGTACAAAATAGAGTTGATCAAAACGATATTGGTATCGGCCAAGCCGAGACCGAGATTGACCGATACTCACGAACCCGATATCGAGACCGATACCATCATTTTGAGCCGAGACTGATACCGAGAAACGATACTGACCGAGACTAACTCGCGGAAAAAGTATTGGATCAAGCAGTAGTGACGAAAATTTATTCTTATAACTTTTTTTGTTTAAAAGATATTTTTATTTTGTTTGACATTTTGAAAAGCCCTTTAAATTATCTTTCGTTTAGGCTTAAAATAATAGGATTCAAAATTACAACTTAGAAATTCAGGAAGCTAAAGAGAAATAAGACCCATAGATGGAAGCTAAAGAGATATTAGACTGAGATAAGAATGGATTATAGCTCAATCGAAGAGCAATAAGACCAGAGATGGAAGCTAAAGAGATATTAGACTGAGATAAGAATGGATTATAGCTCAATCGAAGAGCAATAAGACCCATAGATGGAAGCTAAAGAGATATTAGACTGAGATAAGAATGGATTATAGCTCAATCGAAGAGCAATAAGACCCATAGATGGAAGCTAAAGAGATATTAGACTGAGATAAGAATGGATTATAGCTCAATCGAAGAGCAATAAGACCCATAGATGGAAGCTAAAGAGATATTAGACTGAGATAAGAATGGATTATAGCTCAATCGAAGAGCAGTAAGACCTATAGATGGAAGCTAAAGAGATATTAGACTGAGATAAGAATGGATTATAGCTCAATCGAAGAGCAATAAGACCCATAGATGGAAGCTAAAGAGATATTAGACTGAGATAAGAATGGATTATAGCTCAATCGAAGAGCAATAAGACCCATAGATGGAAGCTAAAGAGATATTAGACTGAGGTAAGAATGGATTATAGCTCAATCGAAGAGCAATAAGACCCATAGATGGAAGCTAAAGAGATATTAGACTGAGATAAGAATGGATTATAGCTCAATCGAAGAGCAATAAGATCCATAGATGGAAGCTAAAGAGATATTAGACTGAGATAAGAATGGATTATAGCTCAATCGAAGAGCAATAAGACCCATAGATGGAAGCTAAAGAGATATTAGACTGAGATAAGAATGGATTATAGCTCAATCGAAGAGCAATAAGACCCATAGATGGAAGCTAAAGAGATATTAGACTGAGATAAGAATGGATTATAGCTCAATCGAAGAGCAATAAGACCCATAGATGGAAGCTAAAGAGATATTAGACTGAGATAAGAATGGATTATAGCTCAATCGAAGAGCAATAAGACCCATAGATGGAAGCTAAAGAGATATTAGACTGAGATAAGAATGGATTATAGCTCAATCGAAGAGCAATAAGACGCATAGATGGAAGCTAAAGAGATATTAGACTGAGATAAGAATGTATTATAGCTCAATCGAAGAGCAATAAGACCCATAGATGGAAGCTAAAGAGATATTAGACTGAGATAAGAATGGATTATAGCTCAATCGAAGAGCAATAAGACCCATAGATGGAAGCTAAAGAGATATTAGACTGAGATAAGAATGGATTATAGCTCAATCGAAGAGCAATAAGACCCATAGATGGAAGCTAAAGAGATATTAGACTGAGATAAGAATGGATTATAGCTCAATCGAAGAGCAATAAGACCCATAGATGGAAGCTAAAGAGATATTAGACTGAGATAAGAATGGATTATAGCTCAATCGAAGAGCAATAAGACCCATAGATGGAAGCTAAAGAGATATTAGACTGAGATAAGAATGGATTATAGCTCAATCGAAGAGCAATAAGACCCATAGATGGAAGCTAAAGAGATATTAGACTGAGATAAGAATGGATTATAGCTCAATCGAAGAGCAATAAGACCCATAGATGGAAGCTAAAGAGATATTAGACTGAGATAAGAATGGATTATAGCTCAATCGAAGAGCAATAAGACCCATAGATGGAAGCTAAAGAGATATTAGACTGAGATAAGAATGGATTATAGCTCAATCGAAGAGCAATAAGACCCATAGATGGAAGCTAAAGAGATATTAGACTGAGATAAGAATGGATTATAGCTCAATCGAAGAGCAATAAGACCCATAGATGGAAGCTAAAGAGATATTAGACTGAGATAAGAATGGATTATAGCTCAATCGAAGAGCAATAAGACGCATAGATGGAAGCTAAAGAGATATTAGACTGAGATAAGAATGTATTATAGCTCAATCGAAGAGCAATAAGACCCATAGATGGAAGCTAAAGAGATATTAGACTGAGATAAGAATGGATTATAGCTCAATCGAAGAGCAATAAGACCCATAGATGGAAGCTAAAGAGATATTAGACTGAGATAAGAATGGATTATAGCTCAATCGAAGAGCAATAAGACCCATAGATGGAAGCTAAAGAGATATTAGACTGAGATAAGAATGGATTATAGCTCAATCGAAGAGCAATAAGACCCATAGATGGAAGCTAAAGAGATATTAGACTGAGATAAGAATGGATTATAGCTCAATCGAAGAGCAATAAGACCCATAGATGGAAGCTAAAGAGATATTAGACTGAGATAAGAATGGATTATAGCTCAATCGAAGAGCAATAAGACCCATAGATGGAAGCTAAAGAGATATTAGACTGAGATAAGAATGGATTATAGCTCAATCGAAGAGCAATAAGACCCATAGATGGAAGCTAAAGAGATATTAGACTGAGATAAGAATGGATTATAGCTCAATCGAAGAGCAATAAGACCCATAGATGGAAGCTAAAGAGATATTAGACTGAGATAAGAATGGATTATAGCTCAATCGAAGAGCAATAAGACGCATAGATGGAAGCTAAAGAGATATTAGACTGAGATAAGAATGTATTATAGCTCAATCGAAGAGCAATAAGACCCATAGATGGAAGCTAAAGAGATATTAGACTGAGATAAGAATGGATTATAGCTCAATCGAAGAGCAATAAGACCCATAGATGGAAGCTAAAGAGATATTAGACTGAGATAAGAATGGATTATAGCTCAATCGAAGAGCAATAAGACCCATAGATGGAAGCTAAAGAGATATTAGACTGAGATAAGAATGGATTATAGCTCAATCGAAGAGCAATAAGACCCATAGATGGAAGCTAAAGAGATATTAGACTGAGATAAGAATGGATTATAGCTCAATCGAAGAGCAATAAGACCCATAGATGGAAGCTAAAGAGATATTAGACTGAGGTAAGAATTGATTATCAAGATTAGATCAAGATTAGAGAACGTCTATTAAATGGAGGTGCTCTTAGAGGAAACCCCACCTTAAAATTACTGAGTGACGAGATCCGCCTGTATAACAAATATACAAATTACCTCATCATTATTAAATTTGCCATCATAACACTTGCTTCGTTTAATAAGCTTAAAGCGCAGATTTTCCTTCCCAAAACTACAACATTCATTAATTCCAGTAACTACTCCCCTTCATTTATTTGCAAAATAATTCCAACAGTGCGCACACCATCCACAGAATTCTCGATTCCAACACCAATTTTGGCGTCTTTGATCGAATCAATACTAATCAGGCCATTTTATAATCGAACTTGGAGGTAACTCATCACAAGTATAATTACTGTCGTTGAGCTCCTAAAATTAGAAAGAATTAAAAATTGAAAGAGCCTCGGCTTTCTTTATTAAATTTTTTTCTAAAAAGACTTTCCTAAACGAAGAGGATTTACGTAATTTTTAAATTAAAGAACGGAACCGAGCTGAACTCGAAAAAATTAAAAGTCCAAAAAACATGTGAGGGACTTTTTCCCTTCACAATTGGCTCCGGTACAAAATATGGAATCGTTAAAATATGGAATGGTTAAAATCGCGAATAGGCTAAAAAGGGGTTAAAATACCGAATCGTTAAAATATCGAATCGGGTAAAAAAGGATTAAAATATGAAATCGTAAAAATATGGAATGGTAAAAATGTCGACACGGCCAAAATGGGTCAAAATGTCGAATTCTTTTAAAAACGGGTCAGATTTGTGCCATACGTTGATTGTTGATAATTTTATCAACATCAGTTTATTGATGATAAGATGTTTGATAAGTTTAGTAAGTCGTAGTCCGTCGTAATCTTTTCTGTCTGAGTTCACTGTACTTTACCGAGTAAAACCGGACCGGATAAATCAAGCATAATCGACCGGATCCGGTCCGGCATGATCGTACGGATCCGGAAAACATAACGCGATCTTGATATGGAAAAATTAGAGTGGTATGCATTAGTTTTTAGTTTTTAACAGAATGCCAAAAGATAAAGAAAAATACTCGGGGAGGTTTTTAAAATATTCTTTGAAAAGAAAATTAAAAATAAAACTTGCCCTAAACTGTTCGACAATACAGAAGACATTTTCCAAAAATATAAAAAACGCTTTAAGCGTAATTTAATAGTTGTGTAGGGGTAATTAAATAAATATTTATCTCCATCTTTAAAGGGATACGGACATATACACAAGCACTTGAATTAATAGGATACATAAAAATACCATACAACATTTGTAATGGAATAAGGAATATATA